TGATTAAAAGAGCTAACATGAGCATTTTTTAGCCAAGAAATATGGAAAGCAACTAACTTCAAAGCGAGATAAAGCAATAAGAAAGAACAACATCGAAAAAAGTAGCTTAAATAGCCTGCCAAGATTTTCTCCAACTTTTTGGCTAAAGCTAAAAGTCAGAAGTGCAGGAAACATACATGACGATGATGCTTGTTAAAGCTCAGACATCGTTTTTCAATTATGGCCAAACTGTTTAGAATCAAAGGTATCAAACCATAGCTGACCAATAACCAACTCCATTAAAAAGAACTGCCAAAGGAACATATGATCGAAGAATAAACAGGCAAGTTTCAAGTAGTATCACAAGCCTTGCATAGAGTAGTTAGAAAACTCAACGGGCCAAGACTGAACTGAATTCTACAAAACTGAGGCATCAAACATTTGAGAATAAAAAAATCCGCTTGCATGTCAACAAATGGCTGAATAAGTATAGTAACATATGAACGATGCCAATAAAATTTTTCCAAGCAAGAAAAAAGATGAGAAACTTCAAAACTTTCGTTCCTGTTCCATGGAAATGAGAAGAGAGAAAAGTAAGAAAGCTTTTAAGCTTTACTGTGGCTATGTTAAAGATCTGCATCTGAAAAGAGAGTCTTTTTTTTTTTTTTTCGAAAACGATAAATCTGATCTATTCTATACTAAGGAGGAGGGGGCGGACCTAAAGAGATCCAGGAATAACTTGGAGGGGATTGAACTACCATCGAACTAGACGGGTATACAGTACACTCGTCTGAATTTTTTAGAAACAAATCATTTAAATATGACATTTTTGGTGGAAATCAAGGTTATCCGAAAAGATAGTCAATGGAAAGTAAATCAACCAACTACTTTATGCTGTTAATCTAATGTTCGAGGTATAATGAAAGTACAGGCAATAACTGATCAAATGATTGAGATATTTACACGGTACAATCTACCGTTGAAGGAAAAAGCAAACATCCAATCACATTACATAATTGAAGGCAGTAGAACCATGAGACTTGATGTGTACTTTGGCTTGTGCAGAAAGAAGAGAAAAATCAAGGACAATATCTAAAAAAAAAAAAAAATTAACCATCAAAGGTTTTAAACTCTAGCAAAATGCATCACAAAGTTAGCAATTTAACAGTAACTTAGAGGAGAACAATTGATAAATTCAAATCCAACAACTGAGAGTTGATAATAAAAAAAATAATTTGATAAAACAAAATAAAAAAAGAGTTTTATTTCTTTCATACATTTTCTTTTCAGAGCCAAAGTCTAAGTTTTGGCAGATTTTTTTTTCTCTGAATCCCAAACAAATAGAGAAAACTAAATACAAATTAACAAACGCATGATATAGTTATATTTACTTTCTAAATAAATAAGGCTGCATTTTACACTTACAGTTTGCAGGCTTTTTCTTTGATTTTAATACTATAAAACTGATTGTCTCTGATTCATTTTTTACCACAAATTTTTTTTTGATATTTCTATTTTCCATAAATAAATAAAAATCTAAGGAAAAAAAATAAGGTTATATGTACACTTACAGTTGCTAGACTTTTTCTTTGATTATAATACTATGAAAGAAATTATCTTTAATGCAAGATCTCTTTTATGATTGTAGAAATATATTTTTTGATGTTTCTTTTTCCTTAAATCCCAAATAGAAGGAAAATTCCTTTTAAAAAAATAAAGCACAAATTCTTCCACATGATGCAAATAAGCCACATTTACATTTAGAGTAGCTAGGCTCCATCTTTAATTTTTGCACTATACACAAGTTATAAATAAATTTCCTCAATATATTACATTACGTGCATAACGCAATACACAAATCGATAAAAAAAAAATGGAGTGTAGTGATTATTTTCGGTATTTGCTCGAAAACTTGTGTATCAATGTTTGTTTGGATTGCTGTTTATTTGTCAAAATATATTTGGTTACATCATCATTACAATTTTCAACGCACCTTTTTATCTTCCCAATTACCTTTTCATCTCACATATATCACATTACAAAAAATGCTACAGTAAAAATATCTCTAATAATTCACAATCCAAACAAACCCAATGTCCGAGCAATCTCTGCATGTATTGTAATCTGCCCGATGCTTTGGTTCCATGAAGCCGATGGTCAATGACTGAACTGACGAGAGTTGGAGGACTGTCCCAAGACTGACAGACAAAAATATGCTCTGGTGGTAGAGCCATGGCTTTTGAGGTTTCTTCTAGATTAGATTTATAATTCTAGCTTCCGTAAAAAAAAAAAAAAAAAAAAAAGGTAGAGCCATGGAAAGGCAGGCTTGCTCTGGTGAATACCGGTGGTCTAGTCTAGTGTGGTGGAGCCAGGCCCGTATGCATACGACAGTCCACACCGTCGATGGATTCAAAGTCCTGCCTGGCTACCTCCACGGTCGGGCCAAACCCAATCCATTCCGCAGGCGCTCTAAATAGTAGAAAAGAAGATAACATTTTGTTTGGATAATACATTAAAAAAAAAAAGTGCTATACTTATACACATTGATGTGTCAGCATCATTAACATATTTTTTAACTACAATAAACAAAAGTGCTATACTATTGATTAGAAAGTACTAGTACTAACCCACCATTATTTTGCTATTTAGAATTTGTTCGAAATTGACCAGAAAGTAGAAAACATAGTAAGATTCAACATGTATTCCGAAGAGTTAAGCTAATCAAGATAACTAATACTAGTGCTAATTATATGTATGTAATTAATTATGTCATACGGTAGTTTTTTTTTTTTTTTTTTTTGTCAATCATCATTTATCTACCCTATACCTATTCATACTTCTACTCTAACCTATTTTAAGGAGAGAGCCCAACTATGCCTACATAGTACTAACTATGTGTACGTAATTAATTATGTCATAGGATAGGGGTTTTTTTTTGGGTTAGTTGTTCTACTCTACACTTAGAACTACTCCTATTCTAGCCTACACTAAGGGGAAGGGTCTAACATGGCCTACAGGAGTTAAAATCTACTCTGAGGACTGAACCACTATCAAACTAGATTGATAGAGTTAAAATCTTTGATGGTGGCCAACGTGCTATTGATTGTCATAAGGCAGTACTTCTTGTTGTCAATACAAGAGAGGCCGCATCTGTGTGCAGAAATGGCAATACGGTGGTGGAGGGAATAGGAGTTAGGGGGAGGGGATAATTTAAGTGGAAGGTGGAGTAAACTAACTAACTTTAGAGTAGTTTGGTCACTCGAGAGAGTCTTAAGACTCTCATTGGGTGCAGGTCAAGGAATTGAATCCCTTGACTTGTATTCATCTCCAGGATTTTTTAAAAGTTTCATCGGCGGATGCAAAGGCACCCGTTTGGTTCGGTGTTAATTCAGTTCTCTCCGGATTCTCCCTTAATCCATTTGGATCCATCTCCTCTCCTTTAGTATACAGTAAGAATAAGAGTAGAATAAAAAAATTATCGTATCGAAAAAAAATATGAAAGATCAGGTAGGGGACGCTACTACCTCTTGTCCTAATACTAATATTCATTTGTCATTCGTTTTACAGAAACGATAAGTATAATTTTATTAATGTTAGGTAAACTGTATAATTGGTGAGCAAAGGCTCAGATTAACTATACAAGTGCACCTTGACATTGAGGGTGAAGCCACTCTTCATCAAAAGATAATCATAATGCATGACTACTAATATAATCAGAGGTCTAGCTTTAATTCCATCAGTGGACAAAACAGATGAGCATTCCGTAAACATGGAGCATAAATTTCGGATGTCCTCTGAGTGGAAAGCACAGTCTCATGTCTTTGAACTTGCTGGCCCTTAGCATCTTCAGTAGTTGCTGATGTGGAACACTAGCCTCGATCTTCTGCCATTGTTATTTTCTTGCCTTGCATGATGCTAGCTTAATGGCCACTGCTTGGTTCATGAGGTTGCTGCCTGCACTAACTCCCTCGAGAGCCCATTGAGCTAGCACTTGCTTGTTGCCACCTCCTGCTACTATTCCAATTCCCACGTCACAGCTTCCCGTCTCCTGTAAATATAAAAAGTGAAGCATTCTAATACTTAATGTACAAGTGTCTATTAATATAATTTACTCAAGTTTCATACTATCATTTTATTCAAGTAATGTGAACTTTTAACCTACTTTTCTTTTTATTATTATTTGTTGACCACTTAGTTAGTAACATATTTTTTTAGCTTTCACTTTGAATCAAATAGCGCTAAAAGATGAACCAAACTACTTGATATTCAAATCAAGTTTGATTTGATACAAACTTATTTGAACCTGATTTGCCGACCAGTCAATCTAAATTGGAATAGTATTTTATGTTTGATAACAATTAAAGTCGACAAAAAGTTTGTTCAAACTTGATTCGATAAATAAATAAGACAAATTTGAACAAAATTTCAAGTTTCTTAAAATAATCGAACAAGTTTGAACACTAGGGTGTCCGGCTTGATTGGGCTCGTCATAGAATCAAAGTTCAAGTGATGTATCCCTAATCTTCTATGAATTTGTTTGTTCAGGCTACTATCTAATTGAATTTCGTCAAAACAAAAACTCAGGGCAACTAAAGGTGCAAACGAATCTAATCAAGCCGAACACCCAAAGTGTTTAAGTTTGTTTGACTATTTTAATGAATTTAAAATTTTATTTAAATTTGACTTGTTTATTGTTTGATTATTTTAAAGAGTTTGAAATTTTATTCAAATTTAACTTGTTCGTCGAATAGAATTGAATGAATTCTTTATCAATTTTGAATGATATCGAACATAAAATGCTGTTCAAGTTTAAATTGACTAACTGGTAAAACAAACTCAAACGATTTCTAATCAAACTTTGAAAATCAAATAGTTTGATTCATTTTCTAGTTCTAAGGTAACTTGTTGGCCTATTCAATTTAATTTGCTCAAACAAAAAGAGTAAAAGAAAACTAACTTTACCGGAAAAAAGTTTTTTTTTTTCTTTTAAATGTTCACAGTTACAGTTAACAATCGAGACAGTAGCGTAGGTATTGGCCAACTTTATCTTCAACTGCTCCGTCTCTCCCTCTCCCTCTCCCTCTCCTGCTGCAATTCTTCTCTGTCCTCTAAAGTCTAAACCCTCTCTTCTCTGCTCTGCCACCCACCCTAGTTTTTCGTAAGGCAGAAGATTCGGGCGGCGGGGGCCTAATTACGATGGAGAAGCTTCTCTGTTATAACCCGATTCCATCTAAATTTCACCTTAAACGCATCACTTTCCTCCCCCAACCCCCCCGACTCAGCACCACCATTCCCGCCGCCCATTTCAACAGACTGACTTACTTCCTCCCCGACTCTTCCCGGGTCAACTCGTTTTCCTGCAACTACCAACACTCATCTTCTAATTCTTTCGCTATTTCTTCGAAATCTGCTGACACTGCCGACCATTGTACCCATAATCTGTCTTCTGCATCTGTTGATAGGCCAGATGGGTCGACGGAGAAAGTCAACTTTTTTAGAAAAGATGTCAAATCGCTACCACAGCAACAAAAGGTATTCGATTCTCCTGGGACTTGTTAATTTTTTTTTCTTTAAAAAATAGTGTCTTCCTTTTTTAATGATGCATTTGCTTGTTGTATTAATTAAGAAATTGAATACTTGCGTTATCAATCTGCTTCTTGCCTGCTTTAGTTTATCGGTTGTAACTCTGTTTTTGAGGGTCACAAGTTTCTAAATTGAGTTGATACTCCCAAAGGATTCAAACAGGAAATAGATTCCGCTTCTACCATTCAATCCTGCAAAATTGTGTATTTTTTTAATTACTACTATATGGGAAGGTGGCATTTTTCTTTATCAATGAAATCAAATGTATTACTAAGATAGTCACGGATTCTCTAGCAGGAGACTTAAAGAACTTAGGTAAGAGTTCTAAGACAATATTTTGTTGCCAGGATTGGAACTGCACTGGGAGACTGTTGACTTGTACATTAGTCTTTTGGGTTACCTTTTTTCAAAGTATTGCTCCTATAAGTTGATATGATTGATTATGTTTTTTGGCTGTTGGCTTTGTTGTGGTGGCGTGTTTATTGTTGGGGCTCTTAATGCGATTACCATTTGATAGAGCTTCTTCTCAGTGATGATTTCTGGAGATTGCTAGATATTTTGATAATCGCCCCCATATATTCTTCTATTTTTCCTTGCTCGAAAATTGCTTCTCATAATTAAAGGTTGGCAGATTATTATTTCTTCTCATGCTTTCTCTGTCGAGGTAGATTTGGTGATGTTATGTATAGACAGGGTTGCTTGAACCTTTTATCCGTTTAAAGCTCGCTCATGCATCAACTGGTAGGTTTCATGGCATGGAGTTATAGTTCTAAGTGATTTCTCCTTTTTTGGTGCAAAGGACGATCAAAGGCCCTCATAGAAAGGCACGAATATTATATTATCTTTTAAGTGATACTTATAGATTTCTCAACTGCTTCATTTCATAATATACTTTATACTGGTTCACTGGTAATAGAGGAAAATTCTGCATCAGAAAGCCTTGATTTGTTCAAGGTTATAACAAGATCAACTTCGATCTGTCAATTCCATGGGATCAGCGTATAACACATCTTTCCAAGTACTGGGGTGGTTGTGCTATAATTGGCTATATGAGTTATTTTCTTTGTGTATAAGATGTCATGCACCTGACTGCCCTGCATTGAAGGCTTTTCTATGGAAATTATTGTACACGAGATAATTAATGGCATTTTTGTCTATGTGATTTCAATAAAAAGGATATTCTAGCTCCATTTCTCTTAAATGTTTGGCTTGAGGGAATGGGAGGGAAAGGAGAAGAAAAGAATAGGTAAGATTTGGTCGTTTGTGTTTACATTGATTTTTGAGGGAAAGGAAAGGAAAGGATAGGAAGGCATTCAATTATTATTTTTAAGTTTGGTTTCCATTCAAAAGTGCACAGAATTGGAGTGAAAGTAGACCAATTATAGTTAGATTATCTTTACTGCCTAATTTACATACGACCTTATCCTTTCTTTTCCTTCCCTTCTCCAAATGCTTCCTAATTTACATAGACCAATGTTTTTCCTTCCATATCTGATGTAAACGACATGAACAGAAAGCACTTTGCTCTAATCTCCTTTTCTCTCTTTTCTGTTGGGGTGGTATCCTTTCCTTTCCCTTTTCTCAATTTACATGGTGCCTTAGTTCTGACCTTGTTAGGCTTGAAGTTGGGACATATTAGTGTGTAAAACTTCTTAGATTTTGGAACCAACTTAATGAAGATAAGTTGTCTAAATCAAGCCCTCACAGGATCAGAATGATAATGCTTCTTGCTTGAGCCTCTCTCTTGAAAACATTGTCATGTTAACTACTTAATGGGACGTACATGGTGTAACCATGATGACCTGATGGAGGACTAGAGCAGCCACATTCTGGCTTCCTCGTCAGAAGGTGAACTTGCCAGTGGTAATCGTGCCATGAAGAACAAGTAATTTATGGTTTCATTTACCTAAATCTGTGATAATATTGCACGGATTGATGCAGAGCTGAACATCATGGAGAGGAAGGGGGGTTGCAAGGTTGGGAGTAGGTATCGAACAGCTACAGCCTATTTTTCTCTTCTCTATATGTGCCCCAAGGAGTCATGATGCATTTTGCTGACTTCAAGTACTTATAACAAAGTCAGTGAAGTTGCAGCCAAAGAGAATAATATGTTTTGACTGGTTAGATATTAAATTACATAATTTTCAGCCTTGCTTATGTAATTACAACTAGAACATGGATACACTGTATGAAAATTTTCTTGCTCATTCCCGCACCTGCTGTTTAGCAACACTGGCTGTATTTTCCTTCATTTATGATGTGGCTAGTTGGAAAACCATCTTCAACTTACTGTAAATTTATTATCATCTAGAAATTCACGCAAATCCACGCCAGACAGAGGAGCTATTGGCATAATTTTAGGATGTGTTGTTGCTAGCTTACAATCAGCATGAACTCTTTTTAAGAAAAATAAAAATAAAAAATTGACTCTTAAAGTAGAGGCTTGATAAAGATGAACGTTAGTTTGACATATATTGATCTCAGGTCATTGCTGCTGGGACCGTGATGTTACTCTCTGCCATCTGTATGACAGTGATCCATCCAATGGTTGCATCACCTGCTTTTGCCAGCTTTCAGAGTGCAGCCAAGGCTGGAGGTCCAACTGCAGCTGCAGTTGGTAGGCAGCTCCTTAAAAATGAGCTGGTAAACAGCGCCTGGACTGGCTTCTTAGCTGGTTGCTTGCATACATTATCAGGTCCTGATCACCTTGCTGCTTTGGCTCCCCTTTCAATTGGGCGCACACGGATTGAAAGTGCTGCAGTCGGAGCTCTTTGGGGATGCGGCCATGATGCTGGACAGGTAATCTTTGGTTTAATGTTTTTACTTCTAAAGGATCGGCTCCACATTGAGATCATCCGGACTTGGGGCACGAGAGTGGTTGGGTTTACCCTAATGGTTATTGGTGCTATGGGGATCAGGGAAGCTTCAGAAGTACCTGCCCCATGCGTGGCCCTTGAAAATGGTGAGTGTGATGTTAGCATCTATGAAGGCCTTGAAAATCCAACGATTGGAAAGAAGAAGATTGGATTGGCGACTTTTGCTACAGGAATTGTCCATGGGCTGCAACCGGATGCATTGATGATGATCTTGCCCGCACTTGCTTTGCCTTCTAGGGTGGCAGGTGCTGCATTTTTGCTGATGTTCTTGGTCGGGACTGTTGTTGCTATGGGAAGTTACACGGTTGTTATTGGATCATGTAGTGAGGCATTAAAGGATCGTGTTCCTAGAATAACAGAGAAACTCACTTGGGCTTCATCTCTTGTAGCAATTGCTTTAGGGCTGGCAATTCTGATCAGCCAATTTTTTGGGTTTAGCCTCTATTAATTAATAGATGTCTGGTGTTTGATTAGTTGTCCTTGAAATTAGGAAAAAGATTTTGAGATGAATGGATGTGTTAATTGAAAGCAAGAATCCGTGATTGTAGCATACTATCTACTATTTTCTTTTTGTTCGTTAAAAAGCTTGCAAGAGTTTATGAAAATTGTTGTGATTAGCTGATCGCTTGAACAGGAGCAGTTACTGCATTAGGGGAGGCTCCAGAGTTAGCCGTACTATTTCCCAATGCATCCCGCCGAGTGTATGGCGTTCTCTTAGTAAAGTGCTTATGGTGCCAGATTACATCCAAAGGAAAGGAAAGGAAAGGAAAGGGAAGGGAAACAAAATTTCGTCGAAAAGAATCCACGTAAGCTTTAGTTGGTAAAATAAGGTTCCGTTTGGATTGCATTTTCCGTCATTTTTCATGGAAAAATTACTGTAGCGATTTGATGTATGTGAGGGAAAAAGGTAATAGGGAAATGTGATCACGGAAAACAACATAATTTTTCGACGAAAAATCGCAAAGGGTTAGAGGTGAATTGCTGTTGTCGTGAAAATGTAGTATATTCTACAGCAACGCGATGCGCATAAAGCTTGAGATTAATAAAGATATGCAAAGATTTTGAAACGATGATAAATCTTTTATTCTTAGCTAGACTGGTATATGTAAACATAAATCTCCACAGAGACATGGGTACAAAAGGGGAAAAAAAGGTTGTAAAAGAAGACAGAACTAGAAAATAAAAGAAAATGAAGCAGTGGGCAAAAAAAAAGTTCGGATTAAACAATTTGGCCCATTGCCTTAGAAAGTTCGGAGACGAGACACGTATGGTGACAACTGTTTAGAACAGTGTAACATTTTTTAAACAAGTTGTAACTACTTTTTAACTGTTTGTACACAATTATAACAGGAGCGATATTATGTTATTATTCATTAGGGGTATCAATCGGGTTCTTGAGTCGAGTTTCAACAAATCCAAGCTCGACTCACAAGTTATATATGAAGTTTTAGGTTCCAAGCTTTCAGATTTCGAATTCATATTAAAATAGCTCAAATTCAACTCACACTATTTTATAAGTTTCAGGCTTAAATCGGGTTTCTGTGAAATATTTTGAGTATATTTATTGAAATTATTTTCAAGAAAATTGGTTTTATGTTCTGAAAATACATGTGTAAAAAATTCATTAGTAGTTAGTCATAACCATAATTAGTAGTTGCTAATTAAAATTAAGATTTACTAAATTAGTTGAAAAATAGAATATGAAAAAATACATATTGATTGGTAAAAACAAATCATATTAGTAGTGAGTAGTTATAAAAAAAATAGATAGATTTTTGTTTATGCCAAAAATTTTTTCATGATCAAAGGTGGTTTAGGAAGTATATAAAGTGATAGATTTTTATTTACCCCAAATTCCCTCCTCTCTCTATATATATAGTATAGATAATTATAAATTATAGATATTATTATATATGTGACACCCCAACTTTTAAGATGCTATTGTTTTACGGTTTCTTTAGTTCATTTTATTTTAAAACATTATTTTGTTTCAAGGAAGATACTAAAGTTATTTCTTTGGGTTTGATTTAAAACCTTATTTTGTTCCAAAAGACTAGAAACCCTAAATTTTAATCGAAAACCCTAATCTACTTGTGACTAATCGCTTTTCTCAAATATCTCATATTTTGATGGAAAACCCTAATTTTAATTACTGGAATTGTAAAATTCCTCACGTTTTTCTTAAAAAGGCCTTTTATTTGGAAATTGTTCAATTACTATGGCCATACAACCCAATCACTCCACAATAAGTGTAAATGAACCTAGGAAGTAGGGGTTCACTTTTCAATTCTAAGTTAAGAGTGAATTAGGGTTTTTGCGATTTTCGCCGGATGAATTTTCGGTACGGAACAAGGATCAAATTTGGTGATTAAAAGTGACTTTTAAGTGAGAAATAATATTTGATTAGGAGCAATGAGATAAGGTTAATGAATAGGAGGTAAAAACCCTAGTACGTGTGTTTTTAAGAGAAACGGCGCGAACCGGCGGGTCCCGCGCACTACCGTTTGAACGCACCAATTGACTACCATTTTCTTACCATACAAGCTTGTTGACTCTTGAGCAAAATATCTTCCAATTGCCAGCTATTTTGACCGAAATTTGTGGCCTAAAAATGTAAGGGAAGAAAGAGAAAAATGCTTGGCTATGGTGGTGACACTTGTCACAACTCTATTGGGTCCTTGTTTGATATTTTCTTTCTTGCTTTCTTATCTTTCCTTGGACTGCATTTCTTCTTCATTTCTGCTTGTCTTGGCCGAGAGTGAGAGGGAGAAAAACCAAGAGAAAGAAACTCCAATCCATCTTGAGTTTGATCCATTTAAGTGAGCAACAAGAAAACTAAACCGATTGATTGTAAGTTTGGAAGCTTGGGAAGCTAGGGGAACCAGAAATTTTCCAAGGGGGTTGATTATCACTCATCCAAGCTTGTCTTTGAGGTATGAAATCTGATCATGGTCTTTGATCTTTTGAATCTTGTGTAAATTAGCTTAGCAACTCAAATTTGGTGGTGAATAATGGATGCTATCATGTTTTGGGGGTTTTTCCCTTTTGGTTATATGAACTAGGGTTTGATGATTTGCTGCCCAACTTGGTGTATGGTTAATATATGTTGTAATTAAGGTTATATAAGGGGTTTTGGTAGTGTTGGAAGTAAGAAATCAAGGAAGGTTGCATTGAAAATTGAAAATTCCAGAATCTGGAAAATTTTGCCCTCTTTTCTGTCCGGTTTTGTATCTCATACTTAGAGGCCGAATTGGCCTTTTTTAAAACATGAAAGTTGTAGGTATTGATGTTTTTGAGGTGTCTGTAAAATTTCAGGTCATTTAGATTAGTGTAGAGTGAGATATGTTAATTTTACTGTGGCTGTTCTGGATTGATCAGGATGGCAGAACTGCGTTTGTATTTGGCTATTTTGACTGAAATTGCTTTGGATTTGGTTGTTGAGGCCTTCTAATGAAATGTAACCCTGTTTCTAAGCTTTCGGATGGCTTTAGAATTTCTGGATTTGGACTTGTGTAGGCTGAGTTATGATGTTTGTACTAGAATACGGTTTGTGAACCTGTTTTGCTATTCTGGTATAGTGTCTTGCATTTTTGACCTTGTTACCTTCAAAACTGGACAAAGTTTCCTTCTTCAACATTGTATCCCCTTAAGTCCTGAATATTCCTATAAAATTTCAGGTCAAACGGATTGGCATATCCTGAGTTATAGATGAAATACACAAGCCTGTTTTGAACAGCAGATTCTGTGTGTTTTTAGTTTTGCTTCTGCCCGTGCCCTTTTTCGGTTTTGATACTGTATGATCTGGGTGTTGACTCCTTCATAAGAAATGTAGATCTTGGTTTTAGCTTCGAAATGGTATAAATTGTGTCAGAATCCGAGTTCCGTAGCTCCCGTTATGACCAAAACAAGATCGATCGTCAGAACTGCCTTTGAATCTGGACAGTTCTGACGGGTATTTTGACACCCGAATTTTGTTCTGTTCTGAATGGATTCAGGACTTGATCAAAACATCAAAGTTTTAGCCTTATGTCTCAGCTTTCTAATGCCTTTAGAATTTCCTGATTTGGACTTGTGAACTGAGAGTTATGGTCCCGTAAACAGACCCTGTCTGCCATTCAAAATGTAAACTTCTGGTACCGTTTTCCATGATTTTGACCTGTTTTGATTCGGATCTAGCTTAAGGTGTCTTCATGGGAATTGTAGACCTTCCTCATAGCTTCGAAACGGTGTCTCGTTCACCTTGATCCAATATTCCTAGCCTAACTTTTGATCAAAACGGTTTGAGATGGCTGATTTGGCCGTTTCCGTTTGCCGTTCCGCATGAGCGCGTGCGCCCTTTTTGCCGTTTCCGCAATTACGTGTGCCAATTTTGTCGTTTTGCTTGTTTTGGATCTGTTAGTAGTCGTTTGTGATATTATGTGATAAAATCTTCTATTTCAGACCGTGGTGAGCTAGGCGGAGCCGGTGGGGCCCACTACTAGCGAACACGCGCGAAGCGATTTTGCTCTTGTACTGCTTTTGGTATTTTGTGTAAGTATTCAGGCCGCTTTTGTGTGTTAGTTGCTTATGCGTTTCGATATATATGAAAAGGGTATCTAGGCGAGAGTGTACTTTATCGCACTCGACCTAAACCCTAGTTTGTGCTCATATTTATACATGACATATGTATATGAATCATTTTGGAACTAAACCCCTCGAGCTTGTGGCTCGGGGTGACTTTTGAATAAATTTTGTGAAGTTTGTGAGTTTGAGGTTGAACTCATGACCTAGATGGACTATTCGGGCCGGTTAGGGCTTGGTCGAAGTCAGTCCAACTTAGTCTGAGGTCACCAAGTTTGTAGGTTCATGTTATGAACCAATTTTGTGAATCCGGTTCACCGAGAAGGTGACCAAGTTTGTGACCCGAGCTTGTGACTCAAGCTCAAGTTTGTGATTTTGTTCGCCCGGGCAAGTTTGTGAGGTGACTGGCCAGTGAGGGTGATAAGGTGTCGGTGGGTGTATAAGTGAAGTTCTACGGACCTTATTTTTGGTCGACGGAGTGTCGACAGGAGATCACGCATGGCACATGACTTGGCTTTGGAGCCATCTGTATCCTTATTATGTGATGTTACTTTTCTGCTTTTGCTTTACTCTTACTGTGTAACTGTTGTAACGTGAAATTTACGCTTTCGCCCCTGTTTACTTACTAAGCATATAGCTTACCCCTTTCCTTTTGTTTTCCTTAGCAGGGGCCGATGCGGGGACTTTGGCACGTACACTAGTCTAGTTAGGTTTGATTGTAATAGTTGGACATATAGTATGTTTGTTTCTTTGTTTTGGTGGTTTGTATAAGTACCCTTCTTAGGGTCTATCTTCTGCTGGTTGTGGTAATAGTATATTAGAGTGGGTTGACTCGATACTCTTGAAGCTGTAAATAGAACTTTTGGTGGTTGTATATATTGTATAAAGTGCTCTTTCGATTTATCTAGTTTTATTGCTTTAAATTTTGAGTCCTGGCGCGAGCTAGACAGGCGGCCCGCCGATACTCTTGGATTCGCCCTTGGGAGAAGTGGGGTCGTCACAATATATGTATATATATATTTCACATATATAATTATACT